TTAAACACTGAAGACAGAAAAGCAGAAATGTGAACTTTCAATTTTCACATGTTCAGACTTCTTCCATACACTCTCACTTTTCTGACCTCTCTGAAAGATAAAAGAGAACACTTGTTTCAATCCATTTTTTTCCAATCCTAAAGAGAACAAGAAACTTATGGGAAAGAACCTGTTGCTGCCTAATCTACAATAAACATTATGGTACTGGAATTCACCTCAGCAGTGGATAACAGGAAAAGCAAGGGAAGAAAGCTGAGCCACACACCTGCTCATTTCTCTCTCCAACAGCAGCTATAATAATAATGATTTATTTTGGGACAAGTGTCATTTTGTGGGAGGGAAAAATGAAGTAAGAAATACAGAGAGTGAAAACAAAATCCAAGTCATTTAGCTTTATGACTAAAGCCTCAAAGATGTACAAACGTAATGGTGAATTCAGGTCACCATTACAGTCACAACATTCAGACCATGTTTTCTTTCAAAACTTGTGGTATTCAAGAACATTGCCAAGTAAAATCATGGATTATTATTTATCATCTCAGTATCAAGAAAATGTGACAAAACAGGGAAAAAATGCTCATACATCCCTTAGAAAATTTAAAATAGGTGACAACCTTGGTAGTGAAACCAAAAATAACACTTGGTAAGAAAGTGAACTAATTTAAGCCTCCAAGAGAAGGAAAAAAAGCCACCAGCATTCTTTTCATGTAAAGACCTTAGCTACTCTGGGGCACAAAAAACTTAGACAATTCCCTGGCATTAGACTACAGCTGTGTGCCTACTGTCATGCTGATACAATGCCACTTGAAATATATTTGGCTAGCATATTTTGTGTGTGAACATAGAGAAATTAAGTATTTGAAAATATGTAGCACCTCATTTTTCCCATGAACTTTTTTAAATTTTCCCATGTGCATAAAAATGAAAATACTGGTATGCCCAATTTTTTATTCTGCATTTGTTTAGTGCAAAGCACTTCATGGGAACAGTAGTTTAAAAGAATCTTTTTGCATAAAAATACTTCAATCAATTGAACAGATTCACAACTCCAAATTTACATTTACATAGTCTGCTATGGAATTTACTGCACTTGAAAAATGGGTAAGAAACAGATCTCAAAGGACAGAGGCAAGAAAAAAATTGTCATCTTTCTCCTCCTGGTGTTCTCTTCCTTCTCCCTTTCCCATCACCATGCATTTCAACTGAGAATGTAACACTTTTCCCACCTTTACATACCCAAAAGTGAAAAAGTACTTTCTGATTTTCCTGCATTACTTATTCTAGTTTACCTGAATTACTTTTTCATTACGGCATAATTAAAAATTTAGCATCTCTGTTTCAAGATACGTGTCAGGTGTCCAACTGCAGGCACTCCGGCTACTGGAACAGGAAGTTTGCCCACATTAAATGCCCATTACAACGAAGGATGATTCAGAAACTATGCCACTAGTGTTCAGTCTCCCTCTTCCACTGATGAGACTTACAAGTTTGAAATAGGTGCAGAAAAGCACAGGCCACGAACTTTGAATGAACATGGTGGTCAAAGCATATAAATTTTTTGTTTCTGTACAGCACAGAACTAAATCTTTAAGTACATAAGTTCACTGAGATTCACACAGTATTTCAGCCTGGCCTGAACAGCAGTTTCTGAGTATGCTGAGCAAACATTTGTATTTCAACCTCCTTTGAAAGGAAAATTAATTCAAAACAAGATGAGGACAGCCAGGCACCTCCAACGGCTCCAGAGCAAGAGCGTTCAACTTTCATACAAGGAGACTAGTTAAAAAACCCATACACTTCAAAGGTTCAAAGCCACATGCTCAACCCCTCAGGAAGTACCTTCAAAGAAATATTTTTCCTGTTTAACTTCTCTTAGTGCCAGAAACCAGTATGTGCCCCAATCCTGTGTCCTCCCCAAAGCCTTAACTTCACTTTATCAACTAAATATTAAAGCACTTCCCTCCAAAGCAAACCTGTACTCCAGACTCTGCTCCAATTGCCTTTTAACAAAGAGCCCACAAACACCCAAACAAAGGTTGGGTCCTGGGATGTTTGGGGGAGACAAATGTCCTCTGAGTCATTACACTCAATTGTACTTCCCTTTTGCTCTTCCCACCTTTACATGAAGTTCTTTGCTAAACCAGGCACAGCATCCCAAGAGAAATCACAGAAAACACAGATCACAGAAAATCCAGCCTGCATTATGGTGGTCAGGTTAACAGAGAGATTTTAATCCTCTGAAACTATGAAGGATACTTCAAACAGTAGTTGCTATATTCAAAGCAGGTATTGCGTTCAACTTTTTTTTTACATGGATTCTATTCCCTCCTTAGAGAGAAGCTGCATAAAGTCATGGATGACGACCATCTCACAGACACCAACACAGCTCTGTTACCTTAAATATTAATCATAAACAGCTGCAACAGCATGGAACTCACCTCCCTATTTTGACTTTCAACTTTCTCAAGTTGATAGTTTCCAACGCCATAACTACTTCTAAGCCTGGGTATATCTATAAGCAATGATTCTAGTAAAGGAGATACCAGAACTTCCTGTTATGTAATTTTTGGGTATTTCCCCTCCCATCCCCAAACATCTCCAATTATCTTAGACAGAGCATACAGCTTTCAAGAACATCAGCAGAAAGAAAATGGTTATCCTTATCAGAGCAGTCAAACTGCAGACTAGTCTAAATTGCTGTAGTGAAACTGATGACATTAATGCCATCTGTTTGTGCAGGGAGATCAAAATGGAGGATAAGGTAATACTGACTTAAAAGACTGCTAAAAAGAACAGTAGATATACTCTTTCAGTACACGTGATATAAACCTACAGTGTACTTAACTAACTGAATTAAAAAAGGTCTAAGCCAAGCAAAAAAGTTTCTCAAGCTAAAATACAAATCTACTCTACTCTACCCTGCAGTATTTTGCACTGATTTAACTTGCAGCCCATTTAAATCAGGTTTAATGCTTCATGTTAGCAGGTGCACACAGAGCTGCCCAACCTCAGGCAGACTTAAATGTGACTCAGATCCCCGACTAATGCACTACAGAAGCATTAGTGGGGCACTGCATCTTTTATAAACTTGGCCACCCAGAGCAGGTATTCACGTGTTCAGTTTCAGTATCACTTTGAGGCTGCAACATTGCTTCCTAGTCAGGAGCAAGATGCACAGGGGTATGTCGTAAGTTCTTTTTTCAACCAACTTAAAATAAGCCAGCTCAGTTTCTTTGACAAGGTAAGGCCTTATATATTTATCTGTGCACACTTTTACATCTTTCCAGTCGTATCTTTTTTATCTTTATCTTCCCTATTAAATGCCTAACGACACAGTTCAACAGAGATGCAGAGAATGGTCATATTTTGAGACAGAGTTATCTGAGAAAAAAAGAAAAAAAAAATCAAGCTGGGGAAGACAGAGAATAAAGGGAGACTATGTATTCTGTCAGTGCCTTGACAGGCAGCTACCTGCTCCTTTTGCCTTTTATTTCTTTCTCTAAAATAAAGTCAACAGGCAGTGCCTCACTTTTTTTAAGTCTCTCTTTAAATCCTGTGGAATCACAATTTTCCCCTTACTTAGCCTCTAAAGAGCATCTTAATGAACTCTCTCAAAGGTATACTGCTTAATACTTAAGGTTGACACCAGGATTATTTCCACATTTCTTCACTGGCCGCAGGAATATTTCCATGACTACTCTGTCTTCGTTAGAAATTACTATTTTTCTGCAATCTGTGTTTCACCCGAAGTCTTAATCCTCAGTGATGACTACTGTATCCACATGGTCATGATGTAATGAAGAAAAGCAAGCACTTCTGGAGGGAAAAAAAACATTACAAACCTTTCAAGCAGTCTCTTAATAATCTCAAATAATTTATCAGTAAAACGTCTGCCTACATTTCAAATTGGAACATTATCTCAAAACACAACACGCTTTGAGAGAAGATAATGCATTCTTCACTGACAACAATACTCCTGGGCCTTTCCAATTCCATGCTCAAAGCCATTAACTTCACTAAGAAAGGGTTTATATCACACCTTTTTGGCTGAAGAGAGCTTAGGGGAAATTAAGACTTACAATACACTATTTACTGGAACAAATCTATCCAAAATAATTTCAAAGTCCGGTAATGAAAAAGTGAATAAAACTTTCATGTACTTGAACATACAAGCTTTCAAAACAGATGCAAAAACATATGCAACTGTCAGTATGTGTGTTCAAATGCAATGCAGAGATACAGCACACATGAACACTATGAACATCACGGATGTCTGAAATGCCTATTTACTAGACACATGCATTTACTCTGCAATGCCACCAATTACAGGCAGTTTTAGTAAGCGTGGTACTTGTGAGATGAGACCTTACCTTCTACCAAAATTCTGCACACGCAAAGCATCTTTGCATCAATATTCAGGGCAACAGCGTGTCGGGGGTTTGACATACACTCAGTTGCATTCGGTTAACCTGTTTGATCTCTTTCCCGGCCCGACAGCTAATTTAAATGATGACTTTTTTATCATGATGCAGGTAAATGAAGTTAAACCAGATAAACCGGGCTTTATACTAAAAGGTCTTTTAGCTTCAGCAGTGACACTACCCATCCCAGAGACAAGCCAAACCTAGGGCTAGGTGCAGGATTGCTCTGCTGCAGATGCCGCAGCCGGAGCCGGTGACACGGCAGCACCGGGGCCCTACAATGCCCACAGCCTCCCGCAGCGCGGCTCCCGAACTGCGCGGAGGCTGCGGCGCGTCCCCGTCAGCCGCCCACAGGCACCTAGAGCCACCGCAGGCACCCCAGCTGCCCTCACACCGACCAGCGGTGGCGCGGCGGGACAAACGGGAGCAGAGCGGGGAGGGGGAGGCGGAGAGAAAAGAACACAAAAAAGAGGGCGCTGGGGAAGGGGGCAGCCAGCTGTTCGGGCACCTCCTCTCGCCGGGCACGGTCGCAGACAGGCACCTTGGCAGCTCCTTTGTTCCCCTCATCCCCGCACTCACCCACGGTGGCCAGGGTCTCCAGGTCCTCCAGCTTGTAGGCAGCGGGCTCGAACGCGGCGGGCGAGCCGGGACCGGCGGGGCTGGGGGCCGGCACGGCGGGCTGAGGCGCGGCCACTCCCGCCGCCGCCGCCTCGCCGCCGCTTTTCGCCCCCATCTTGGCCTTGGCAGCGCTGAAGGCGTCCATGGGGCCGAGCGGGCGCCCCGCGGCCGCTCAGCGCATGGAGAAGGGCAAAAGGAAGAGGGAGGAGAGGGAGCGGCGGGGACGCAAAGTTTCAGTCTTCAGCAGGCGGGGTGGCTGCTCCCCAGGGCTGGAGCCCGCTGCCGCGTCTGAGGGGGCGCGCAGCCTTTCAGCATCGCGGCCACAAGCGCCGTGCCGCCCGCCGGTGCCCGCAGCAGGCAAGGACCGCCGCGCAGACAATGGCGAGGGTGCGCCCAGCCGCGCCACACGCGGGGCGGAGGGCGGGGTTTGCCGCTGCCGCTGCGGCACCGTCCCGCTGAGGGCTGGCGGGGCGGGGCGGGGCCGGGGGAAGCGCGGCCCCGCCGCACAGCGGGAGCGCGGCTCTCGCCCCTCGCCGCGGGCACGGCCCGGAACCGTGTGACAGCCGCGGTGCTCTGTGCTTGTCCTTCCCCACCCTGCGTCCCGCCCGAGGGGCAGCGAGGCTCGGCGGCGGGAAACGGGGTGGAGGGAAGTGTCGGCGGCTGCCGCGCCTGCCCCGCGCTCTCTCAGTGTTGTAGGGACACCTGGAGCGGTCCCGTCCGCTCCCCGCAGAAAGTTAAAAATGAGCGGTGGAGCTCTTGCGAAGCGGCAGCCGGGGCCCCCTCGGCTGCACAGGAACAGCCCTGGGAGGAGCTGGTCTTTCCCCAGACGTGGGAGCGCGTTCGAGTGGCTCCCCCCGCACGTCCCAAAGGGGTTGTCACGCCTTATTTTCCTCCCCGTTTCCAAGCAGGTGTGGATTCCGCACCGGTCACAGCCCGTCCGCGTCCCCTGCTGCAGCCTGCAGGGTGTTCGTGTGGCAGGGGATGGCTGGGGGTAGTGCTGGGCTGCGCTCGGCCGAGGCGAGCAGACACCCGCCTCATGCAGCAGCAGCAGTGGAGTGCCGAATATAGCTCCTTCCAGAGCTGCCAAGAAGCTGTTGACGATTATGCTGAAAGACAAGGCAAATTGGTATGTGAATCAAGTCACTGTAAAGCGTTCACATCAAAACTGGGAAGGAAATCCTAATTTTTTCCATGCCTTGTTCTGGCCCAGTTTTACCCTTTTCACAACTACTACCCTATGCTCCCGTGAGCTGAATATCTGCAAAGCTGATGTGTAAATCAAGTCACACGGGTGACATTTGGCATCTCCTTTTTATTAAATGTGACATTGTGAGAATTTAAGGCTTATTAGTTTCTGTGTGGAGTAAGTTCAATAATAATGAGAAATTATTATGTGTATTAAAAAAAGAGAGTACAAATATATAAATTATGTATAAGACTTACAAATATATGTACATTTATCCTGAATTTTAATGTATCCTTGAAGTCAAATTAATAGTTGTAATATCAGAGGATATCAAATGCATTTTTATCTTTTAGCTTGCTGACATGAAGGGTTATGACTAATTCAGAAAATCATTAGGTCATCTCTGCTTCCTGTCAGCCTTTGAAAAGTCACTGGTCAAGGAGGATGACATCACTTTTGCTCCAGAATTTCAGATTTCATTTGTTAACTCTTTGGAATGCAAGTTATGCCCTTCTATTTTGCTTTACTACTTTACTGCTTTACTTTCCTTTCTGCTTCTTTACTGCAAGGTTGACTGAGCATTAGAGCAGGTCACCCAGAGAGGTTGTGGAATCTCCCTCACTGGAGATATTCAGAAACCATCTGGATGCAATGCAGTGCCATGTGCTCTGGGATGACCCTGCTAGAGTAGGGAGGCTGAACCAGATGACCCACTGTGGTCCTTTCCCACCTTACCCAGTCTGTGACTATGTTCTGTACATTCTATATCAGATTTACCATGGTTTAGGCCTTGAATTATATATTTTGAAGATTGCTTGAACTGCAAATTGTAAATGTTCTGGCAAGCTGTAAATCTAATTTCTGTTTGGTCAAAAGGTAAGCAAGCCAACAAAGCTCTTTTAACAATAACTGAAAATTTTGTTTAAGATAGCAGTTTGAAAAATACACATCAAAACATTGAAAAAAATCTTAGTGTGTCTAAAAATCTAACTTTGTTTCTCTAGCCAAATAATTGCAAATTGAGAAAAAAGGTATAAGCTGATTGTGCTAATTATTTTCAAGAGAGAGTTCTTTAACTTCTGTCTAGCCAAGAAAATTGATATTTGATCTTCCTGAAACCTTTCCTTTTCAATAAAAACTAAGAAATCATTCACTTCTCAGATGTTAAAAAGGGCATAAAGTATTTTACTTAAGGTATTGATTGTCCTCAACTGATATTTCCATTTATGTTACAAATTTTACCTAATGTTTAAATTACTTGCATCCAGGACCATAAAACTTTCTTTTAAAGAGCCTCCTAGTGCCATGTTTCAACAGTTGGTGGCCTGTATGACAGCACCCATTCACAAGAGCTGTGATTCAGCAAGGCTCCTAAGCACAGGATTAGTTTCATTCGATGCAGTGTCTGTTCTTAAGATTTAAGTTTGCTTCCTTCCTTTGAGTGCAAGGCATTTCCTAGTTGTAGTTGTAGCAACATAATTGCAGTGTTTATATTTAGAATGTCAACATATTATTAGTGTGCTTTGCCACCTCTCTATAACCATCTCAGAATTTGTTGTCCAGATACTGATTATTATCCACAATACTTCAGGGGAAGAAAATGTCTTTCTTTCTACATACAATCAAAGCTTCTAACTTCATAAATTGCAAGTGGAAGTAGAGCTGCCACTAGATTGCAATAATGGATATGAAACATAGTTTCTTTCCCAATTTGGGCACAATTCATAGGCAAGCCTGCAACACTATAATCCTATTTTCTTTCTTCTTTGCCTTTATTTTAACTTAAAATGTCACCTCTTGGTCACAGGTACTTTTTGAATAATCTTGGCTTTTCCCTTGCTCTCAATAATTCATAGTTCTCAGTTTTTCACTTTCCCCACACATGCATTAGGTGCCTAATGCCAGGTTTCTTTATTGTAAAACAATTTTCCCCCTTTATGTTTCTAGTCCTTTACCTTACAGGTCCTTACACCAAGGGTTAGTTCTGTTTAATTTTCTCTTAAAAGTTCCAGATATTAGAGATTAATCTTTCCAAAGAGAGTGAAGATCTTTTTAAAAGAGATTTTATTTAGGAAAAAAAAAACCCAAAAAACAGAGAACTGTAGTTTAAACGGTTTTCTCGATTCATTGTTTTAGTGAGGGCTTAGTCTTCTATTTCAGTTGCAAAAAAAATGTTCCATGTACTTACATTTCTTCATGAATTTAGAATTTTCAGGGACCAGAAGGGTTACAGGTGTCAGTTTGGTTGTTCCCTGTGGCCTTTCATATATGTGCATTTGCCAAACTTCAGCACATAAAACCATACTGGTAGTTAAATGTTTATTTGGGTCCTAAATGACTAACTTTCCTCCCATTCCTTCCTTTTGGTTTGTAGGTTTGTTGGTTTTGGGTTTTTTTGGTTTTTTTTTTTTTTTTTCTTATTTTCCCCCAGGAAACCTTTAGTTAACAATATTAAACCAATGTAAAGGATACCAAAACTTTCTACCTATCAATGAATTGATATAGTAGATAATTTTTCTGTCATTTTGGGGGGACACTGTGGTACACATTCCATGCAAATGGAATATGATTTAAGCACCTCACTCTCTGGGAAAGGAATCAGTCATTTAAATGTCTCCATGGCTGCAGACAAAAGTGTCTTTCCTGTAGTTTGAGGAGGTTTGCGTTTGTCTTCCTGAAAGCCTGCTTCTTTCTTCCCTGCAAATATATAATTTTCCTTACAAATCTCGTTAAAGCATATATTTACCATCGCCATCACAGTAGTAAAACTACTACAACAAGTTTGCTGGAGAACCTGTTCAAACCTGTAGGGAGGAAATGGAGAAGTCCTTCAGTGGTGGTTATTACTAATAAATAGCTCCATATCATCTCCTTTAGTCACATTACATACGGTGCCTAAAAACGTGGGACTGCTCTGAGGAGGAAGAATAACTAGTAAAGATAATTAGTACTGGTATGTGTTTTTCATTTGTTTTGTTTTGCTAAAGAAGTTCATGATCAGGCAAGTCCTGTGATGTAAACCAGCACCCTTTCGTGCAAAAAATCCTGGCCTGTGACAGAGGAAGGGGGAAATTATTCCACCCATCTGAAGCAGTTCCTTCATAGTATGGAAATAAGCCTATCTGTATAATGAGCAATCACACAGCATGTGCATGTATCTACACCTTCATAAAGCAACTATCACACTGTTATTTGAATATGATTATGTTTAACATTTTTTTAAAAGCATTTATATTATGATGAGTATAGTGGCAGTATCCAAATGAGAATTTAAACACAAAGAATTTAACATCATTGCCTACATCCAAAATCGTGTTTCTGATGAATCTTGCTGAGTTGATTCCTTGCTTCGGAAATGCATTGGTGTAGCCAGTTCAAACATGGAAATGCTGTTACTAGGGTGTCTAGACTTTCTGCCCAGTCTGAGCAAGTTTGTGTCTCGCTTCTGCCAAAACTAGATTGAGATCTGGAAACAAGATGTTGCTTTGCCTACATTTGCTGAGGAACTTGTTCTGTTAAACATTCTGAAGGTATATCTCACATACATGCAAAACTGCTACCCTCACAAAAGTAAGTTGTGACCAGTTTTTATATAAAAAAAAAGTGTTATAGGAACACTGTCTTAGCTGATAGAAGACCCTGAAGCACCAGCATGCTGGACAAGCTCTTTGAAGTCAGGTGGTGATATTTGCTTCAGTTCAAAGATAGAATCAAGTAGCAGTTCACTAGGACATCTTTTCCCCAGATAACTAGTTATGTCCCTTGACACTGGCATATCTCATTTTCAATACTCAGGATACTATGCTGCTTATAGCAGTCACCCAGAAAATGGGATATCCAGAATTTTTGCTCTTAATTGTATGAGAAGAGCTCTCATTCTAGTCTCCCTTCTTTAAGCTACTGAATGCAGTTGTAGGACCTATTCTCCCATACTGTGCATTTCTACTTTACAGATACTCCACATTTACTGTGCCAATGAAAGGGCGTGTTTGCTACGTTGCTGTGTGGAATTATGCAGAATATAAATCAAATACAACTTTATTCACATTTATTTATACAATTTATGGTATGTAGCTGTAGTGTACTTTTACATATTTTACCACATTTCTGAAAAATTAATATAAAATAATAAATTCCACAAACAAGTAAATTAATTTTAGCTTTTGAGGTTTTTTGTTGTTGTTGTTGTTGGTTGTTTTTTTTTTTAATTTATTTTATTTT